TCACAACTGTGCTAATGTGACATTAACAAATGTCATGGTTCACTTCCTTGATGGCGGAATTATTCGGACATTCAAGGCACATTACAGAAAACACCTCATCCGACATCTCCTCAACTGTGTGGATAATGACGAAGCCCCGGTGGTCAACATTCGACAATCACTGAGGATTGTCAAACAAGCCTGGGATGCAGTTAAACCATCGACGATAGCCAACTGCTTCCGCCACGTTGACATCCTGCCTCAACATACAGAGGAAGACTCAGATGATGACATGGTGCTTTCTGAGCTGGCCGAACAACTCAGAAAGTTTGCCAATGCCAGCAATACAGACACAACAGAAGCCACGCCCACTGCCGAGGAGTTTGCTGATATTGACATCGAGGTTGAGACTGGCGAGGCTCTGACAGATGCTTCAATTATCGACATGGTTACCAATAAAGAAGATGCCGAAGAAGAAAGTAGCGGTGACACGGATGATCAGGCAACCCAACTTCCCTGCTCGTTTGCAGATGCAAAGAAATATTACGAACGCCTGGTCAGCTACTTTAAGAACATTGGCGACCGTGAAAACCTGGACAAAATGTTGTCGGTCGTGTTGCAAAGTAGCGGCACCCAGTGTAAGCAGTCCTCAATGAAAGACTTTTTCAAAACTAAATAATTGTAAAGGCATGATTGTTATGTTGATGCTGTTTTTAATGACTGTACATGTACAATAAAGGCTTGATGATCATAAACATTTTGGATTTTGCTTGAGGTGTATGAAAACCAAAAATCCAGATATCCAGATATTCAATTATCCGGACGAGTTACGTAAAAACAAATGTGTCCGGATATCCGAGGTCTCACTGTATATACCTATATACGCTGGGGGAAGAGATCGGGGCCTGGTAAAGGCTTTATCTATGAAATAAAGCTTTACAGAGACCTTTGGCAAAAGTGATCTCGTACATCCAGTATATATACTACTTGCGATTGTCCTACGCATATTGTTCATATTTGCCTCACCTTTCGAAAATAGTGTCAGCTACAACACACATTATCTTACCTTCATGTAAAATACTTTAATTTCATTGGTCAATGATGCTTTAACTAGTTTCCGTGTCACCCCTCCTAGGAGGGTGACAACTGGAAAAGATATAACCCGCTGTCATGGTAACCACCAAATTCGAACTTTCGCGAGAAGCTGTATCGCTAACAATCGTATGACGTCATTATATGACGCATGCACTGCACAGAGTTTGAAAACCGTTCGAATAGCTCTTTTTTGAGTTTGCTATTTGCATATTTATTTTACCGACTTCCACTGTTTTATTTCAACTGTTGTATACATTGCAGTGTTACACACACAACTTAAACACAATTAACCAATTTTATAGCAGTTTTAAGCTTGTCAGAATATGTTTCACGGATTTTGAAATTCCAGTCGAGAGGCACACGCCATTTTCTTTACATGTCAGCTAGTCCGTAACGAGCTTATCGATCTTCAAAGTAAAATAAATTGATATTTTGTACATTTAACATGGCGGTAAGATAAATACGTTGTACACTTCTCCCTCTGCTGGCTCGGGTAACACTTCTAGAAAGAAGTACATACGTACATGAGACCGTATTACCCTCGACAGAAGCATACAACTTATAGTGGTGAATATTTGCTTCCACAACTGAAACCTCGATATGAGCTTTAGTTGACAATTTGACGTGTAAAGTTTAAGGCTTTATATAAGATTGCACAAGCAATATCACAAAGATTGATCCCAGATTTCAGCTTCGCACACTGAAGTCATGCAAGGACTCCAGACTGGGGGACGACCTAAATTTTTAACTGGAGGCTGTTTCTACCTTTCTCTTAATCAATCAATCATCTCTGTAGAAGGGACATCGTCGATTTCTTAATGTTAAATTTCCGTGTGTTTTTTTCCGGCATATCAGACATTATCCGTCCGTTTGTTTCAGGTAATAATGATAACACTGTCTTTCTATAGCGCCTGAAATCAACCAGTAAGGGGCTTAGTGGTGCTGTACAAAGTTGAAAACATGTTGTAAAGGCAAAAGTAAGGCACACGTCGGGGAGGGTTTCGGAAAGAAAGAAGATAGAGATACGTCTATATATGGATATAGAGCTGATTTGAAGTTTGTTTGTTGTTGCCGTTTGTGATCCAAGAAATAGTGGAAGATTGTTCAAGGGATGGGGAGTTGTGGAGAAGAAAGCTCTGTTTGATGGGTAACCAGTGGAAGGATTGCAGGGTTGAAGATACGTAATCAGAGCATCGAGATCAAGTAATAAATTCTCTTAAGTTTAGATAGTAGAGATGATGGGATATTGAAACAGAGAGCATTACAATAGTCTAATCGTTGTATAACAAGAATTTGCAATAAAAGCTTGACTATTTCTTTGTTGAAAAGAATACCGTCTTCGACTGAAATTGTGAATTTGGAAAAAGAGCTTTTGATTTTTGAATGACGTGTTGCTCCGTGGACGTGTTACTCTGAAATGTAATTCCAACATTTCTGGCACAATGACACAATCATCACAAGTAGGTGATGATGTGACTTTTTGAAGCTGCCATCCGAGACAGCATCCATGCCGTAACCTCGGCTACAAATTGTTGGACACCACTGTGTGTGATATTGGATTCAATGGATAGGCTGGTTATCGTCGGCACAGAGGCAATGTCCGACTAGCAAGATGTGAATGCTAAAGAGGAGCGGACCCAGTACTGAAACGTGAGGCACTCCAACGGGGAGAGGTGTTCACTGACCCCAAGGTAATGTGCTGTTCAGAGAAATAGGACTTAATCCTCGAGATATTAGTACCGGTGATTCCTACTCTGATTCCATTCTCTTGAACATCATAGCTGCATGAAATGTCCACGGATAGTTCGAGCCAGAGATTACAGGATGTCATTGCGAACTCTGACAAGTGCTGTCTCTTTGCGGTGGAGACTTTAATATGCAGTCTTAAAAGGTTCGAGTAGTCCATTTTTGCTGAGATAATAGCTGAGACGCAGAGCTACAATCGCCTCTAATGTTTTTGACATGGGCCTGGGGTTTTGAAAGTTCATATCCGATCGAGGCTGGATTTTTTGTAAAAAAACAATTAGGTAGAGGTTTCATGAAATACAGAGACCCGTGATGATCTGGGTTATAGTTGGTCTTCAGCAACACATGCTTGGTGGACACATGTCATCGTAATGCAGACCGCTGCCATATATACTAGCCACATAAAGAAACTGTGCATTGTCAAAATATTATCCCAGTTGATAAGTACGATAACAATGTCAAAGGTACATATAAACTTTAATGGAGGGATCATGAGACCATAGCAAGTCGGAGAATTTCAATTCAAAAGTCATTCACAATGACGTCAAGAGTCCACAAGCGGGACAGGGGTCAAACGACCATGTCACAAGCTCAATAACGGGTATGTCCACCATCGGCATTGAGAACAACAGTGCATCGACGACGCATAGAGCCTATCAAACGTGCAAGGAAGGCTTGTGGGATGTCACGCCAGATTCTCTCAAGTTCTATTGCAAGGTCAAGGACGTTATCTGTCGGATGAGGAAGACGGCGTAGACGTCGATCCATCTCGTCCAAAACATGCTCTATCGGGGAGAGATCGGGGGAATGTGCATGCCAAGGCAGTAAGTCAACGTTGTGGTGTTGCAAGAAATCCATAGCAACCCTTGCCGTATGAGGGCGGGCATTGTTGTGTTGGAATGTTAACCCAGGGCCATGACGTTGCAGAAAAGGAATTGCCACAGGTCGAAGAATCTGATCCCTGTAGCCCTGAACAATCACCAAAGGAGTTCTTTGGCGTGCTGTTATTCCACCCCAAATCATCACGGAACCACCACGAAAGCGATTCCTCTCCAAGACACAGGCCTGTGCATAACGTTCTCCCACGCGTCTATAGGCACGTTGACGTCCATCACTATGGGAAATGTTAAACCTGGACTCATCTGTAAAAACAACATTTCTCCACCAAAACAAGGGTCTGCGGGCATGATTTCGGCACCACATTCGGCGAGCTTGTCGATGACGTTGTGTCATGATAGGCCGTATGGCGGGACGTCGTGGTCTGATCCCGTGATGACGTAAACGTTGTCGAACTGTGTTGGGGTGGATACGGCGAAGTCCTGGGATGGTTCGGGCAGTCATCACTGCAGTCTGAAACCTGTGGCGAAGATGGGTCACCCTTATCCATCTGTCCTGTCTTGGCGTTGTTACACGTGGACGTCCAGAACGTGGCCGATCGATGACGTCATTTGTGTTCTGGTAGCGTCTCACCAGTGCAGAAATGGTGTTCCGGTGGCAGTGGAAATGTGCAGCCACTTGTCGTTGAGACATTCCCCCACGGACCATCCCAATGGCCTCATGACGTTGTGCAGACGTGAGCCTTGGCATGCTATGCGTTTCAATAGCCGTTTAATATGTTTAACGATCACAAAGGCAGGGGTTGAGCTTTCCAAAGTGACAGTATTGTGTTGCATTCATTTGTTCTGTTTCCCTTTCCCGGAATGCACGTGCAACAACGTATTGCACGTCTCAAGGACGAACCCACTGACGTCACGGAACGTGGCACGTGCATGCCTGTTGGATACATGTCAATAATCTCTGAGTTTCAATACTTATTTGTCTACACAGCTTTGATAAATTTAGATTAAAATTTTTGTATGCAGTTTCTTTATGTGCCTAGTATAGTTGGAATATTGCTGACTGTGGCGTCCAGAAAACAAACGTTCTATTTCAGAATAGAAACGACGTTTCAGCAGGAATACATTTCAGGACGCATGTTGCGTATGTAGCATAAGGTTCAACTGAATAGGATTTTGTAGACTTCATGACACAGGTAACGACGTTTGCTCATCATCATGTTGTATCTAAGTTATCGAATATTAACAGGATAATGTCACATAGAGAATCTAAGGTCAATACACGTGTGTTAATCAACTCATTCACATACAAACAACGGATCAAAGCAAAATGTTTCTACTCACCTGTAACATCAACAGCTCACAGTTGCCTGTCTGTACAGCAATACAGCACAGTTTCTAAATGCTATATAGTGTCTCATAAGCCTTATCGGCTGGGTGAATTTATATTTTATTACTTCTATTGTGTATTTTATGTCATGTAATCGTTCACGTGACACTTTAGTAAACTATATATCTGTCTGTCATCCTGGCTACCAGGAGGTGAAATGAATGGATAACAAAGGAAAAGCATGATCGGACTCTGAACGCTTTGTACATCTGAGGTATTTATGAAATAAACTTTGCGAGCTGTCGTATACATGTATGACTGGGTAAACCTGTGTACAGGTTAAAGTGCGAGGTGTAGATGTAACGCCATGCTAGTCTGTACTCTGTGGTAAAATGTCTTGAGGAATTACACAAATGTGAGGTGGAAATATAAGTTCATATACATAACTATTCTTGTTCATTTGGATGTTTGTGGGTGGGTGTGAATCACCACACACCACAACGCACTCCACACCACAACACACATCACAACGCACTCCACACCGCAACGCACATCACAACGCGCTTTGCACCACAACCCACTCCACACCGCAACGCACTCTACACCGCAACGAAACCACAACACAACGCGCTACACACCGCAACGCACTCCACACCGCAACGCACTCCACACTGCAACGCACTCCACACCACAACGCACTCCACACAACACACTTCACACCACAACATCACTCCACACCACACCACACCACCACACCAAAACGCACTCCACGCCGCAATTCACTCCATACCACAATGCGCTCCACACCGCAACGCACACCACAACACACCACAAAACACTCCACACAACAATGCACTCCACACCAAAACGCACTCCACACTGCGACGCACTCCACACCGCAACACGCTCCACGCCGCAACGCACTCCACACAAAAAGGCACTACACACCACAAGACACTCCACACCGCAACGAAACCACTACACATACAACACATCACACCAATCCACACCACATATCATACAACATCACTCCAGACCACACCACACCACTCCACAACGCACTCAACACCGCAACGTGCTCCACACCACAACACACTCCACACCACACCACACCACACCACAACGCACTCCACAACGCTCAACAACACAACGCACTCCACAACACATTTCACTCCACAACACAATGCACTCCACACCGCAACGCACTCCACACCACAACGCACTCCATACCACAACGAAACCACAACACATCACACCGATCCACAACACATATCACACAACATCACTCCAGTCTCTCTGCGTGGATAATTCCCATATCTGCTCTGGTAGCGGGGTCGCCCTGGGTAAAAGCAGCCTGCTGCTGAAAAACATCAAATCTTAATCTCCTCGATGAATCCGATATAATGTTCTTTCTGCCCTCAATATACTCTTACTAATATATTGTGATTTAGACCTAACATGACTAGTTTTCGAACAATGAGCAGCACCAAGGGAGATCGAGATGTGAACTTGTTGATGATAGCTACAACAGACTGATTATCCGAGTAAAGCAGTACTTTCTTATTCTTCAGCTCGTTTCCCCAGAGCTTCAAAGACACATATAGAGGGAAGAGTTCCAAAAATGTTATATCTGATGGATAACCCATGGTATGCCATTCATTTGGCTACTGTCCAAAAGGCCATTTTTGTCAAAGTATATCCCAAAACCGATACTCCCTGCGCTATCAGTGTACAAACCCAAGTGTTCATTACCCTCCCAGTGTTGATTGAGAAACAGAGTTGTACCATTGTGGTTGTCTAAAAAGTAGATCCATACGAATATATCCTCTCTTTTTTCTTTGGTAATGCGAATATGGTGACGTTTGTTTAACCCGCATGTGGAATTGATTAGCCTCCGCTAATTGGGAATTGCTCTACAGACGAAATTCTATAGACCTGTTAGTGACTGCATTTCAAATAACTTAACTTTCGTCCTCCCCAATATGTCGTGAAGAAGAAGTTTTGCTTGTTGTAACCTCTCTTGTGGGATAGACACAGCCATTGTCAGTGTGTTCAGTTGTAAACCCAAAAACGTGATGGATGTACACGGGTAGAATGTTTTCTTTTCAGCAGTTGGGACATTCAGGTATAAACACACTTCAATAAAAGCTTCTAAAACAATTGAACAATCGTATGTACCTCTTCTGCTTCCAAATAGAAAAATCATCCAGGTAGTGTAAAATTTCTCCCCTCGTTACTTAACTTGCAACAACCCATTCAACAAAAAATGGAACAAGTCTCAAAGTGAGCGCAGCTTATTCTGCATCCCATTGGTAAACACTTGTCAAAGTGAAATTTGTTTTTGAACTTAAAACCAATCAAGTTGAAATCAGCCGGGGACACAAGCCTAAATGCGCTTTTTATATCAACCTTTGCAAGAGAACATCCTTCCCCGAGCGTCTGTATCATTTGTACCGCCTTATCAAATTTTGTGAAGTGAACAGTTGCATCTTGGTCCGATATGTAATCATTAACTGAGTTTCCCGCTGGGTGGGATAGATAATGTATGAGACTATATTCTCCAGGAGATGTTTTCGGTACTGCGCCAACAGGTGATATTTTTTTATTATCAAAGGATGGAGAGTCAAAAGGTCCAGCGATTCTTCCCATATCTAATTCTTTTTCCATTTTTTTCCCAACAAATTCTGCAAGCTGATTAGCTGATTTAAGAGTTTGACAATATGACGATCCACGAGGGCCCTTGTAGTGCAGAGAAAAAACATTTACAACCCGGATACTCTTAGGTTCTCAGTGTTAATTGGTGTCCTGCCTAAGTCCAGTAGTGTGTTGACCGCTTGGTCCTTGGGTATTTGTTTCCTTTTCCATTGCTCCTTGGTTGACGAAAACCGGATTTGTTAGGGTGTTTGCCATTACAAGCCATACATGTGTGCATGTACTTTCAAGCAGGTCTACTACATGACCCGTAGTAGTAATCCCAGCAGATTTACTATTTCAGGGTATAGAAAGAAAGAATTGACGGTGTAAGTGAGGTTATAGGAGGGAGAAATCACTGAAGAAAAATGAAAATATTTTATCATGCATTAAATTTGATAAAATTACAATTAATGTAGAACGCCAGAGCAAAAGAAACCCCAGTATTGACTGTCCATGACATGTGTTTTGGTATAACCCTACACCTGCGATGGTAATGGCGTTTGAGTTTTGACAATATTACGGGGGGTTGAGGTACAGGCACTCAGATCTCGCGACAAAGACCAAAATCTGATAATAACACCTCGGAGGATGTCATACAGCAAAAGGTGGTTCGCTCATGTATTGGGTGATTACACAATCTATGATTGGGTTATAAATTCAGGGATGATGACGTGAATGTATTATGTTATATGCACTTGGCAACGCAGGAAAGAGGAATGTTATTTTTTAAGTTGCAACAAAATCGCTAACATAATCAACCGATGACACGACATTATCCGGCAGCAGCAATCAGTTCATTCGTCACTACTCGCCCCTTTCCGTAACCTCAAAGAAGACTCGTCCCGTCTCGATGCTTGTTATGTGCGAAAATACGACAAACCAATCAGAACGCGCGTAATGGTTGCAGTGCTTTGATAAAAATAATCCCGACTACTTAAATCGCTTATGGCCTATGATACTGCGCTTGGTAGCAGCAGCATGTCTTTTGTGCTCTCACAAACTTGGACTTTTTCACTGGATTATTGTACAAATTTGATTCTACAAAGTTGATCATATTGTACATGATCATTTCCTCCACACATTGCTGCAATTTTTGAGACTTTGGGGACTGAAATGTGGATTTTGTGTATAATAATCTCATTCATAAAGGTTGATTTTATTGTCAACTTGAGTTCACCACCAATCAAGGGTGTAGCTGAGGCCTTCAAAACCCAAGCTGACTCGGCCAGTGTAACAATGATCAATCAGTCAACAATAGCCTACAGCAGGGAGACTCTGCTTGCCATTGGTGAAAAGTGTTCAAGTGCACATCTTGGAACAACTGCCAAGGGACATAACTCTGAACTACTTCACCATCTGAATAATCTTAGAATTTCATTAAGAAAGCGAACCAGAAGAGGATGTAGAGCTGGCAGAAAGATACCAAAACGGATTAAAGTGATTCAAGGAGTATTTGAGAGTGACGATGGAACAAGGAGGTCAGGTGTTAACTTTAACAACCTGGTTCAAGTTTATCCTAGAAGATTTCCAAATACACTCAGTGTCTCCTTGATAAACGTTCAATCATGCAAAAACAAGACTTTGGAACTATCTGATTTGAGTCAGGAAAATGATATTGACATTCTTTTTCTCACTGAGACATGGTTACGAAAAGAGGGGGATGAAGTGAAAATCGCTGAGCTGACACCCCCTGGATACAGCTGTATACATGCTCCAAGATCCCAGCGCGCTGGTGGGGGTGTAGCAGTGATACATAGGTCTAACATTCAGATAGAATGTTTAGACAATTTGGAAGAATTCAAAAGCTTTGAGTCAATCAACACTAAAATTAGTTCTGGAAATACTTGTGCTCGTGTTGTGTGTTTGTATCGTCCACCGTCGTCAAAGAAAAACCAACTTTCAACCTCTGTATTCCATGGTGAGTTGTCTGTACTCGTTGAGAGGTACAATCAGTTGAACACTATTTTGCTAGGTGATTTTAATATTCACTACGATAACAATCAGTGCTCAGATACAAAGAAGATGAAAAATCTTCTCAAACAACATAGTTTGTGTCAGTATGTTGATGCTCCAACACATAAAGGAGGCCATATCCTTGACTGGGTGATATCCTCTGAAAGTAGTTCCTTAGTGTCTTCTGTCAATGTGCAGGATATACAACTTTCCGACCACTTTCTGGTTTCTATGACCTGGAGTATGGACAGACCTCAGCGTCAGACTATCAAACAATCCTGTCGTAATCTCAAGTCTATTGACAATGTTGAGTTTCTCAAGAGATCTTGTAAACTCTGACTTACTCCAAGACCCCCGGATGATGTAAACCAACTTGCTGAGTTGTATTCATCCACATTGTCATCTCTCTTAGATAAATATGCTCCATCAGCTCTGAAGGAAATCATTGTCAGATCAGGGACTCCTTGGTATAATGAGCAGGTTCTCTTAGCCAAGCGGAAACGCAGAGCTGCAGAGAGAAAATGGCGGAAGAGTCGCCTTGAAATTCACCGTCAGTTGTATAAGTCTGAGCGGAACTCTTGTGCTAGGGCTCTTAGAGGAGCCAAATCCAGTTACTGTACCAAGAAACTCTCTGACAATGTGAAAAATCCTTCCTTCTATCACAAATTCATGGGATCTCTACTTGGCAAGAAGAATGATACCCCATTACCACCGTCCACTAATGACAAGGATCTTGCTGACAATTTTTCAGCCTACTTCTCAAGTAAAATTGAAAATATCAGGAAAAGCTTTGACCAAACATTTCTTGACACACAGGATCCTTCAACATGCCCACCCGATGATGGGATCTGCCTGGACACCTTTGATTCTTTCACTGAGGGTGAGATAGCTGCACTCATCAAACGGTCAAAAAAGACATTGTGTCTTTTCGATCCGATGCCAACTCGTCTCCTTGATGACTTTTTGGGAGACTCTTTTGCCAGTTATCACGAAACTGATCAACTTGAGCTTAGGTAATGGTGTCTTTCCAGAGGTGTTCAAGCAAGCTGTGGTAAAGCCATTACTTAAGAAAGACAATTTGGATATCAATACTCTCAAGAATTACAGACCTGTCTCCAACCTCTCTTTCCTTTCCAAGATCCTTGAACGTGCAGTTGATGTCAGACTCAGATCCTATCTCTCTTCAAATGATTTTCTGAACAGATTCCAATCAGCCTATCGTCCTAGGCACAGTACCGAGACCGCCTTACTTCAAATTCTGAATAACTTGAGATGCCATGCGGATTTGGGTAATGTGTCACTTCTCCTCTTGCTTGATCTCTCAGCGGCGTTCGACACGGTCAACCATCAGAAGCTCCTTAGCCGTCTTCAGGATGACTATAACATACAAGGGGATGCATTGGCCTGGTTCCGTTCCTATCTGAGCATGAGGAGTCAGTCAGTTCTTGTCTCTGAAAGCATCTCTGAGTCAACGATCCTAGAGTGTGGTGTACCCCAGGGCTCAGTCCTTGGGCCGCTTCTCTTTGTGTTATACACAAACCCTTTGGAGAAGGTCATTGATAACTTTGATCTGAATCACCACGCATTTGCAGACGACCTCCAATTGATGGATTCCTTCAAACCAGAGGATGTACAAATAGCCAGATCTAGAGTGAGTCAGTGCACGAAGGCAATTAGTTCATGGATGATGACAAATGAGCTGAAGCTCAATGATGATAAGACTGAGGCTATGTTGATTGGCACATCGCAATGTCTGAAAAGGATAAACTCTACGGACATCACAGTAGCCAACTCAGATATCCCACTTTCATCCAGTGTAAAACCTAGGTGTTCATCTTGATCCTTGTCTCACCATGGAGCAACATGTGAACCATCTCTGTAGAGTAGGCTACTTCCATCTCCACTCTATTGGTAACATCCGCCATCTTGTAACCACAGATGCTGCTAAAGTTCTCACTCAGTCACTTGTTCTCTCCAGGATTGACTATTGCAATAGCCTACTGTTTGGAATCTCCAATGATCTTCTCTTCAGACTTCAAAAACTTCAGAATGCTGCCGCCAGAGTTGTCACTAAAACATCCAAATGGACTCACATAACCCCAATCCTCCAGAGTCTGCATTGGCTGCCGGTTGAAGCAAGAATTCATTTCAAGATCTGCACTCTTGTTTTCCGCTGCAAACACGGCCTAGCTCCTCCATACCTCTCTGAGATGTTGTCAACATATATGCCTGCCCGTTCTCTCTCCGCTCTCAGAATCAACATCTTCTCTCAGTTCCCCAAGTTCGTCTCAAACACTTTGGCCATAGGTCATTCAAATTTGCAGCACCAACCCTATGGAACAGTCTTCCTACTCCCATAAAAAATGCTTCATCCCTAGAAGCATTCAAATCGGGACTCAAAACCTTCCTCTTCAAAAAAGTCTACAACCTATAACTGTAAAATACTCTCACGGTTATTTTTGGCTAATTGTCATATCTTCTTCTTGAACTCTAGTCACTCTTTTTATATGTAGCGCTTTGAGCATGCTCTGGATGGACTATGGCGCATAAGAAATATCCATTTATTATTATTATTATTATTATGGCATTATGTTATTTCTTTGAGAGGCATTATGTTATTCTTAAAAAAATCATGAAAAATATATATCGTCGTATTGAAAGTACTAAGAACTTAACTAACAGTATTGTGCTGTCTAATGTGAAGTTTTTGATAAGAATTATGCGATTGACGGTGAGAGATTCAAATACACGCACGTGCGTTTTTTGACATAACGGCTCTCATGGGGCCAACTGAGTGTATTTCTGGCGATCGTGCGGGCTCGTTGTGGAGATTGTACGTGCGCTTCCAACAGTTTTAAGTATGTATTTATAACAATACTATTATAGCTGTATGTAACTAATCAACTTTAATCATTAACATTGGGCATATATTTCACATCTCTGGGAATATTTTGTCCTGACTTATTTTGGGTCATTCATATATTTTTCAGTGTATTCATTTAACATTTTAACTTGGGGTATGACAGCAAGGCCACACGAATGTTCAGTTTGAGAAATATTTTAACGTCACTTTTGAGTTTCTGCAATGCGATTTAATGTAGCTGGATGTTCTTTTTATAAATTGTATTTACATATTCAATTAAACAAATCCCATTTGTGATTATTAATCTTTTTTTAATAATATAATAGGAAATGTAAGTGTAAGGCGAACATCTGGTAATAATTACGTCAGAATACGTCTTTAACCAATATGTTTTTTCTCCTTCTTTTAGTTGTATCGAATAGATTTAATTCTTTAAAATAAATAAGCGAAATCAAAAACAGCAATACAATGTACCAGTACTTCGGTGATGTTAAGTACCATTGGAATAAATCGGGAATAGAGTTATCGTTCCTGTTTAAAGTAGTTCTGATGTTCATGCACCAATACGAAATCCTTCAAGAGGGGCACGAGCCGCTATTCGGTTTGTCCCGGAATAACACGAGTTGGTCACGAATGCAATCAGTTATAGATAACTGCTATGTTTCTGGTGGTTACAATTTAAGCATTTGTCAAAAAAGCAGAAACTAAAATATAGAAAAGAAAGGTTTCTGATAATTGCACTTAATCATTTTAATATTTTTAAACCGAATCACCGTTAATTTATGGGAAAATACACCTGGAAATCATTTCTACATTAAAACAAAGCTTAACTTTACATAGTATGCCATCGAACTGGTTAGTAAAAATGTCTAGTGATAATGTATCTCAGTGTTACATTTTATTCTCTATATGAATATGATACGTTTATTTCCTCACCGTTATCGTCACCCTTTTAAGGCGCGTATGCAGTAATCAACAACACAAAAACGATTTGTTATTCCTCGATAACCAATTGGTGAATAGCGTCGAACACAAGTCAAACCAGTCATGTTAAAAGTCTAAATAAGCACATTGTAAATCCGCGAAGAAAACCTAATCCATGTTTCAAACCCGTCAATGCTGGGGTGTCGTTTCTCTTTAATGTGTAATCTTAGTAAGCCTTCGGCTTAGTCGTATCTTGTACGCCAGAGCCGACGTAAGAGGCCCGAAACCCCATTTGTTTGTTTGTTTGTTTGTTTAACGCCGCACTCGTGCATATTTCAGCTATATGACGGCCGTATGTAGATGATCGAGTCTGGACCAGACGAACCAGTGATCAACGGCATGAGCATCGATCGACAGAACTGGGATACGAGGGCATGTATCAACCAAGTGAACGAGCCTGACCATCCGATTCCGATAATCGCCTTTTAAGACAAGCTAATTATAACCCGGATCTACTCGGGTCTGAGACCTTTTTGACTTACTCACACATTAAAGTTTGTAATATTCCCCAGTATCCTCAAATGAGATATTTTCAGCTTCGATTATCAGCGAATTACCTGTATATGAACTGACACAGAGACTCACAAGACTGGATGACTGGGAATACGAATATGCTTATTTCAGAAATTATTGAAACATATGTACAAATATATGACTGTATAAATACAGTGATAATGTCCAAAGCATGCAGGAAGCAGAGATACCGTAATTCCCCATAATGCCCAGTAAGGTAGTCTAGCTTTGGTTGCTAGTGGTTTAAAGCCTAGTTTTAATTCATCCTAATTCTCCTGTGTTTAATACTGACGTGGTTTGTTCTATAATTGAACTGATATCTATCCTGCTTTTTTATTGTCCTTCGTCGACAAGCATTTAGAGGGGAATATTAGACAATTGCAATAATTTGCTGGGTGAAAGATAAAGTCATCAGAAACATGTACCCCAATTTTTATTTCAAAAATGTGGTTTACGACTTTTTCATCGCGAAAACAGTTTCTGTTATCTGAGCTTTGGCCATTATGCATATCGCTGGAACTCACGTGACCTTTACGGCAGATATTTAATCATTTTAAATAAATTTGAACAAATTTGAATGAATGACTAAATTTGTTGGAGCATTTTGTAGCTGGGGCAGTTCCACTGGTACGAATGAGATATATATTATCAAAACCAGTAAGAGATTTTATATGAGCTTGAAAATGTTTCGCTATAACGTTCTTTTCGGTTTGGAGCCCTAAATGCTGCAGTCTACCTGAAACATTGCCAAATACAACGGCAAATCATGAAGTACTTGTTGCTTTCATTGTTTTCCATTTTGTCCAATTACGCATGTCGGCATCAGACTGGCTATTTGTCAGTATAGAGTGTGCCGTGAAAGTTGTTCTGTATTCTCATTGGCTGACAAGTTGTCATTCTAAGGATATGACCGAGTAGCATAACTATTTGCATAACCAAACACTGGGGAAACATACATTGTCCTGACTAGTATTTTATAATTCACCAGTTTTCGCGGAATACCGTTAACTTATCTGCGTCGCGAATATTAGCTCTGCTCGACCAGGCTGGGATCTTGTATGGGGAGTTGATACGTTAGTGATGGAACTAAGATCCTAAGCTATAAGATATAACGTTTGGAAAATAAGAGATTCTGATGTTTTTATGTAAAACCAGGGATAATCTACAACGTTATATAGCCTCCCTGGTAAAACGCATGTAACTTCTTATCATATCTATGAATGTATTTTGGGCCAGTGGCCTATTACTGAATAAAATGTCTGTCTGTCTGTCTGGAACTAAGATCCTAATGTTTTTAAAAAAAATAATTCAAGTGTAATTTTTGAAGCAGATAATTTCTACTTCCCCCTGTCTGAAACATAATTATTTTGTTTTTAAATCCCAGACACCCTACATTCACATTTCAAAAATAATAATTCTTAGGGACTGGTCAAATATTTGTAGGAGTGGGTTTGCTGGTTGGAACTGCATCACAGTTTGCTGACAAATAATATTCTTGTTAATTGATATGGTCTATTTTTAAATATATTTTGACCTCAAGCGGTGCCTCCGTTTCGCTTGATTCTTCTTCTTCATCTGCACTGGAAGATTGTCTTGCAAGATGTAAAATCGGATCGTATTTATACGGTCTAACATCCCTTTGAGAAATGACATCAGGAACATCTTTTACTGCTTCAGAATCCATGGACACTGTTAAGGTAAAGAGGAAGCCATCAGCAACAGGCACATATGACGTCATGTCACGTGATACCCCAACTGTCGGGTGTTTCCGTAATAGGCGGAAATACGAGTATGTTTTTGGGGTTTTTTTTTTTTGCTATTTTACAAACTTTTTGCTCAGTTTTAATCACGGACGGTGACTTTTAGAATATCCTTTACAAGATATCAAAAGTTTTGTTTTCGTTCGTACTCTCCTTTAATAAAAACCAACTTCTTCTCATCACTATGTGCTAAGGAACTGTTAGTCCCCATGGTCCCTGGTATGGTGATCTACCTTCTGGTGTTGGCGATCTATAGCCTGTTTTTTTATTGTATTGTCACAATAGTGCTATTAGTTTTAACTCTCCACACTAGTTTTAGTTGTAATTGTGATATTATAGTTGTTTTACTGTCCTTTGTCGACAGGTTTTTATAACGTACATATATTCCATTTCAGTGTCAAATGTTTTCATTTCACTTTTTTATTGTATGAATAGTTTTCGTCACGATATGGCTGAAATATTGTCGATTTGACGTTAACTAATAACTCACTCACTCACTCATCACTATATGTTTGCAATATTGCCGATTCGACATAAACTTTTAACGCAGTCACTCACTGTTTAAAGCGACGTAAACCCACACACTAGGGCTCCTGGCCCCAAACTCTCAACCTCCCGCCCACCAGCGCTATGGTTTTTCTAGACAATCGTTAAAAGTGGTGCAAAACAGTACCCAGTCACCTACCTATAAACACCAATTATTGGCATCCGTATAGTCTGACGTGTTAACTCTGAACAAATATAGCCAGGAAAATCCACGCAAGTCTGTGATGTGTGGTAAGTCTCTAAAACTCCGTTTTCAGGAGAATGAAGAACGTCCCTAGGCTCCTTTTTATCATATTTTATTTATCTGTGGAAGCCGCGCTGGCTGAGTGGGTTGGTTGGCTGAATTTGTGTGCTGGCGATTAGGTGAGTTCGAATCAAGTGCAGTCCTAAACCTAACATGTGCTATTTTTTATCAAGTTCATTTAAGAACTGTTTCGAGGATCCTGGTTAGAATTGATCTTCAGTAACCCAGTAACCCATCCTTAAGAGGCTACTAACAGGATTGGGTGGTCAGGTTCGCTGACTTGGTTGACTCAGGTCATCGTATCCCAATTGCGTAGATCGATGCTCGTGCTGTTGATCACTGGATTGTCTGGTCTAGACTCGATTATTTAAATACCGCCGCCATATAGCTGGAATATTGCTGAGAGCGGCTTAAAACTATACTCACTCACTCACTCACCCACTCACTCACCAGTTCAAAGTCTGGATGTTAGTCTAACAATAATACGTTTTGGGTCTTATGGTAAATTCTTATCTTTCTCATATATGTCTTATCTACAAGAATCAAATCTTCTGAGAACTACATCAAAGTTGACAGGGAATAGAAAACACCTGCGAATCATCCTCTCTATGACACATACGTCATACGTATGTTCTAATTAACATCAGTTTCATACCGAGCGCAAAACCATCCCATCAGTTCTAACAGGCGACCAGCACTGAAGCGGAACGGTACTGATACCAGGAATGTTATAACGGTACATACTCGCGCACGCATCTGTTCTGCACAGCAGCCACGAAGGCCAAAGGTGATCAAGGGCATACACAAAGTAAGTTATGACACATTACATATGACTCCACAAAACTAGCTATCATCGCTCGGCTCTATTTTAAGCGGTTGTCAAAGGAGGTAATTAGATTATCTCCCTTTGCACAATGGCGACCATTTTGTATCAATTAGCACGGTGCATGATGTGATACTGTTACAGACGTCATAGGAATTGTTAAGCTATTTTTAGATATATTAACAGTCTTTCTCGGCATTCTTCGACAGTCATAGGGGCGGTGGGGTAGCCTAGTGGTTAAAGCGTTGGCCCGTCACGCCGAAGGCCCGGGTTCGATTCCCCACATGGGCACAATGTGTTAAGCCCATTTCTGGTGTCCCCGCCGATATTGCTGGAAAATTGCTAAAAGCGGCGTAAAATATGACGTCATGTCACGTGATACCCCAACTGTCGGGTGTTTCCGTAATAGGCGGAAATACGAGTATGTTTTTGGGGTTTTTTTTTGCTATTTTACAAACTTTTTGCTCAGTTTTAATCACGGACGGTGACTTTTAGAATATCCTTTACAAGATATCAAAAGTTTTGTTTTCGTTCGTACTCTCCTTTAATAAAAACCAACTTCTTCTCATCACTATGTGCTAAGGAACTGTTAGTCCCCATGGTCCCTGGTATGGTGATCTACCTTCTGGTGTTGGCGATCTATAGCCTGTTTTTTTATTGTATTGTCACAATAGTGCTATTAGTTTTAACTCTCCACACTAGTTTTAGTTGTAATTGTGATATTATAGTTGTTTTACTGTCCTTTGTCGACAGGTTTTTATAACGTACATATATTCCATTTCAGTGTCAAATGTTTTCATTTCACTTTTTATTGTATGAATAGTTTTCGTCACGATATGGCTGAAATATTGTCGATTTGACGTTAACTAATAACTCACTCACTCACTCATCACTATATGTTTGCAATATTGCCGATTCGACATAAACTTTTAACTCAGTCACTCACTGTTTAAAGCGACGTAAACCCACACACTAGGGCTCCTGGCCTCCCAAACTCTCAACCTCCGCCCACCAGCGCTATGGTTTTCTAGACAATCGTTAAAAGTGGTGCAAAACAGTACCCAGTCACCTACCTATAAACAACACCAATTATTGGCATCCGTATAGTCTGACGTGTTAACTCTGAACAAATATAGCCAGGAAAATCCACGCAAGTCTGTGATGTGTGGTAAGTCTCTAAAACTCCGTTTTCAGGAGAATGAAGAACGTCCCTAGGCTCCTTTTTATCATATTTTATTTATCTGTGGAAGCCGCGCTGGCTGAGTGGGTTGGTTGGCTGAATTTGTGTGCTGGCGATTAGGTGAGTTCGAATCAAGTGCAGTCCTAAACCTAACATGTGTTATTTTTTATCAAGTTCATTTAAGAACTGTTTCGAGGATCCTGGTTAGAATTGATCTTCAGTAACCCAGTAACCCATGCTTAAGAGGCTACTAACAGGATTGGGTGGTCAGGTTCGCTGACTTGGTTGACTCAGGTCATCGTATCCCAATTGCGTAGATCGATGCTCGTGCTGTTGATCACTGGATTGTCTGGTCTAGACTCGATTATTTAAATACCGCCGCCATATAGCTGGAATATTGCTGAGTGCGGCTTAAAACTATACTTACTCACTCACTCACCCACTCACTCACTCAGTTCAAAGTCTGGATGTTAGTCTAACAATAATACGTTTTTGGGTCTTATGGTAAATTCTTATCTTTCTCATATATGTCTTATCTACAAGAATCAAATCTTCTGAGAACTACATCAAAGGTGACAGGGAATAGAAAACACCTGCGAATCATCCTCTATGACACATACGTCATACGTATGTTCTAATTAACATCAGTTTCATACCGAGCGCAAAACCATCCCATCAGTTCTAACAGGCGACCAGCACTGAAGCGGAACGGTACTGATACCAGGAATGTTATAACGGTACATACTCGCGCACGCATCTGTTCTGCACAGCAGCCACGAAGGCCAAAGGTGATCAAGGGCATACACAAAGTAAGTTATGACACATTACATATGACTCCACAAAACTAGCTATCATCGCTCGGCTCTATTTTAAGCGGTTGTCAAAGAGGTAATTAGATTATCTCCCTTTGCACAATGGCGACCATTTTGTATCAATTAGCACGGTGCATGATGTGATACTGTTACAGACGTCATAGGAATTGTTAAGCTATTTTTAGATATATTAACAGTCTTTCTCGGCATTCTTCGACAGTCATAGGGGCGGTGGGGTAGCCTAGTGGTTAAAGCGTTGGCCCGTCACGCCGAAGGCCCGGGTTCGATTCCCCACATGGGCACAATGTGTTAAGCCCATTTTTGGTGTCCCCCCGCCGTGATATTGCTGGAAAATTGCTTAAAGTGGCGTAAAACTAAACTCAGTCAGTCAGTCAGTCGACAGTCATAAGATTTTGATTAATTACACCGTGTTGGTTAAGACTGAACAGAAACAGACGAACGCTGTGAGGAGTTCTTGAGGACATACTGAACTAATAAAGAGATAATTAAGGACATTCTTACATGTGGCAAATCGAACGTTGAACTTAAGTTCAGAATGACTGTTATTTCGGCAGCATAAATCACGCTGGGTTGTTTTGTATTAACCAATGATAATACGTAATTTCCATATTTAAGTCCAAATTCCATTTATTAATCACAATCATGAACACGAAAAAAAAATTAAATATACATTGACTTACATCCTTACTCAGTTTAACAGTTTTTTCACGTATTCATGAAATGATACGAATACTATTATCTTAATACATATCACCCGCGAAGGTCCTCGTTAGAATTGATCTTCAGTAACCCATGCTTGTCGTAAGAGGCCGTTACCTCGTTTTTACCGTTACCGTTAATTTAAAGTCAGTTATGAAAATGTCAAACATACATATTTATCTGTCGATACCTGTATGGAAAGCCATTTTCATTTACTAACATATTTCATCTCTTTGAAGTCATTCCTCTTTCTATTCTATTCCTATTTAAATAGATAAAACATTATTATTATTCACTCGGTGGTTGCATGACACATGCACAGACTGACAATATTTTCACACTGTTAGTTGAATAAATTCTGTAATCAGTAGAGTGAGGAACAATGTTATTTTGCTTACCTTGTTCAAACATCCTTGCGGAGTATGTGTTTTATCTCAGTATACCACCCTGTGTTATATACTGGCAGAATGCGGATGTTTGTTCGTTGCTAGGAAGTACTCCATCTGGGCAGGAGATCCTGGGTTTACCCTCAGTTTAAATATAGAATCTGACGTGTTTCCGAAAGCGTATACATGTCATAATAGTTTTGATTTGTCAGCTTCGCCTTTGATTTATTGCATATTCCTTGAAAAGGACCTGCGAATATTGTTGATTTGGAAGTTACGTGGACTCGTGTAGCACGTGAACTACAGTCCAAACGACCCAAGGTGGACGAGTCAGTCAATGGTGAAGCGAACTTAGCATGGTTATAAAACATATACTGACTGTAGGACTGTGAGGTGGAAACACAGGGTGTCTTATCTTTTAGGCAGTTCTCGAATTCTAAAACATGCAAAAGGATAATTTTTCATCCTTGTTTTTGAATCTTAAAACGTGTTTATGGAATCTGTAAGAACTTTTGTACTTTCCATTGTCAAATTTAATCTGGGGCAGTGTAATCGTCAAGTGGTTAAAGCGGCCCCTAAAAACGCTGATGGCTGGGTTCTATTCCCAAACGGGTTCATTGTGTGGAGTTCATTTCTGTTGTCACCTGGCTAAAAGAGACGTTGAACAGTAATGACATTGAATATACCCCGTCTTAGTAAATAAAGTGGTTATTAATAACTTGGCACACTAACTGCTATGTTTAAGTATATCACGCGTCAGTCGATCCACTTTCAGGGGTGGTGGGGTAGCCTAGAGGTTAAAACGTGTGAAGCCAATATCTAGTGTCCGCGATATTGCTGGAATGTAAAAAAACAAACTAACAGCACTCACTCATCAACTTTCCAATTCCTGGACGAAACTCAGAGATTTCTATCCCAGTTTGGTATGAATTATCTACGCCCTGTGCATGCAGAATTATCAGTTTCGGGAGTACTTTTGTTATCGAAGACAAATAAAATATATTAATATTATTTTCAAACGGAGCCTGGCACTGAAAGGCCCCTCGGCTTAGGCAATAACGTAAACCTGAAGTTAAGAATTGCTGATAATCTGAGGGGCGGTGAGGTAGCTAAGACTTTCGTCACGTCAAAACCCGGTTTCAATTCCCCTCAAGGGTATAACGTGTGAAGTCAATTTCTCGTGTCCCTCGCCGTGATATTGCTGGATTTTTTAAGAATGCTCCGCTACATTCGTAACTACTCGCCTCTTTCCTTGACCCGCCATAAGGCTTGCCGGAATGACAAAAGTAGTTACGAATGATTATGAATATGAAAACTCCTGGGGTATTTCTTATCACCCAGTTAACAAAAAGGCGGCCGCGCAGTACTTCACGAGGAAAAGTGTCTGTTCCCGAGGAAAGCCTGACTCATTCACATGATACGTTTACAGTTCTGAAAACTGTTAAGTCTCTACTTGACACCCTGTGCAGTTCTTTTTAAAAATATATACCCCATTATTCAAGCTGCATACGTTCCTGACGTCATATTGCAACCGCACTGTATATATAGTGTGCAGCTAGCATCTGAACGACAGAGACTTCGACGCACTTCCACCAGTCATTACGTAAGTGTTTCTTTTCTCTTTACTATTACTTTTTGAAACAACCAAATTCAGATTTTGATTCTGGAAACTCGTTTGTCCCTGATGTTGCTGGTCTAGGTCAAAGAGATGACTAACCTCCTCACACAGTTGCCATGAGTACATACTAAGGAAGCATACACAACTTTAGGCGTTAATCCAGGGCAGTAGTTAACTTTACTTAACAGGGGGGCACTATCAACCATTGATTGAGGTATATTGTCGTGGTTTTCTCCAATTTAGCAACGGTTAGGGTAACCCCTGCTCTTCAAAACACCTGGACGGTTACATAAAACGATCTTAGCGCTAGGACTGTTGTGAGCCTATGTTTAAGAATTGGATCAAGTCAGTGTTATGGTCACCTTAGCGCTATGTGGGCTTAGTGTAACGGGCCCCTTGGTCGGTTCAGTGGCTCTCGGCTATGATAATAGCCTAAAATTGCTTATCTTTGTTGTAAACTATAAAATACACACATGACACAATGGAGTGTCAATGTGTAGTTTATCTGTTCACAATATCTTGTATGACTTTGGATGTTGTGGTTTCTCAGAAAGGCCGTCGTAAGTATTGCCATGTCAGGTCGGGCGTTGTCGTATTGACTAATGACCAGTGCCGTAAGAATTTCATCTGTGCAATGTTTAGCCGTTAAATTGCTCTGGACGTTTACCAAGTCTGTTACATCGGTATTGGAGATGGCAACCCACACCATTACACTATCGCCACCAACCGATCCAATTTCCTTCATGCATTTTCGGGCATAACGTTCCCCACGACGTCTGTACTCGTCACTAAACCAAACACGTCCCCATCGCTGTTGTGGTAATACAGTCATAATGACGCGTTCCTCACTGTCTGTTCTGAAATCCTACGTAATTGTGGTATTGCTTGAGCCTGTAAAGGTGGCGCAGCAGTTATGACACGTCCTCGTCCGGATCTATAAGTTACGTGTTGACCCCTGCGCCTGATAACAGTTCAATAGTCTCGTAATTGTGTTTGGGAAAACGTTGCAACGGCCTTAGCCTCGTTGCCTGTCTGCAGTCGGCCGATGACGTTGTTGCGCTGAGCTTCTGTTGACCTTGCTGTACAATTGTGATGACAGATACATGAAAACCAATCGTTCTCACAGCCCTTCAACTCATGTTGCACGTACATTCAATGTTTGTATGTTTATGAAGCCACGCGTTTTGCGTTTTCCCCACTTCTATAACATCGTTTGGGCCGTACCTTAACATTCCCGATGCATGCATACACGAAGAGTTAATTTTCTATGAATATAAGCGAAACTCCGGCAGAATATTTCCAATAATTTTACCTTTTGCGATTCTTTGTATTTGCAGAGTATATATCAATTACTGCATTACTGGCTGAGACGGAAATGTATTGGATTATTATTATCATTGCAATATAATGCTGAACAAGAAATTATTTGTTACACATGTTAAATCGTCATTATCGTGCATTATTTTATCTTAGTTTTGGTTTATTTCAGCGACAGTTTGATTGACTATGGCTGAATCTGGATCTGGTAACTAGGATTATATTCTTTGAACCTTAGAATGTTTAACGGATATCTCACTGTAATATTGTCGAGCAGATACTTTTGAAACTGACATTTGATCTTCCACCAACGATGATCGCTCGGTTCCATAAACGTTATACATATTGCCTTAAAGCCGTACAGTAGGTGAGCGCATCAGGGTTTAACCCCTTGTCACATTCATCCACAGTTATACAGTATTACCCACTTACAACGTAAACGGGTATAAAACTGTACGCAAGAACCAGTGTCCCATTCCTTACAATGTTTGAAGGCGATGTCCGGTGTCCCCCGCCGTGATATTGCTGGAATATTGATAAAATCGGCGTAAAACCACAATCATGCACTCAAATGTGACGAGATTTATGTACGGGACCACCTTTTTCGCCACCTCCTTGTATTCGTACTGTTTATGTATATAAGGAGCAATTCATGGACCACGTAGTCATTAATTCTGTATAAAATATCTGTAAAACTACACGAGTGCTCAAAAGAATGTATACAGTGTGTTTGATCAAACTTGAAAAGAAAAGTTCAATGGAGTATCCAATTCTACATTAAATGTGCGCAATTTCATTTCATACAAAGTCAAAAGTATCGTTTGACTGACACTGAAAGACACGTGAACACAAATCAACAAGGCGTTTCCTTTGCTGTAAATTATCATCAAATGATGAATCAATACTGTGACCACCATTGGCTTCAATACACGCCAAAACACACCGACGCCTTGAGGTAAGGCGTGATCCTTTGCCCCCCACACACACACACACGGTGTATAGTTTCTTTTGCAGACAGAAAGAAAAAACTTACTCAAGAAGCGTTTTATTTATCATGATTTCAAACTGCCATGCGCATATACATTAACCCCTCCAAACCCACCAAAGAATAAAAACAAACCCAATCCCACACCCCCCTAGACAAACCCAACTAAAAACAAAACCCAACATCAACAAAAATACAAAACAAACAAAAAACAAAAACAATAAAAAAAACCCAATAAAACAAACAAAATCAAAGCATAAAGAAATCCAATGAAGCATTGGTTCTATTCTCTGACTCATTCACTGTGCTGAATAACAACTTTTGCCCAATCAATGTGTTTATAAAAGTCTCAGCAATTGTGAATATTTATAAAGCTTATACCAAGTGTGCGTCTTGTGTCACGAAGTATCACACCTAATGTCTGTCGTAGTCTCAAGTTGACACCCAAAAGAAGACAAAACAACGCCAAAAGAAGAAAAAACAACCCCAAAATACCCCAAGCAAACATACCAACAAAACATTGTAATTGTTATCAAATAATAGATGTGGTATTTTGTCGTTGGTAAAATGCTTTTTCCGCATTTCAAACAATTAGGTTCATGTTACAGGCTTTAGTGTAATGTCCCTCTTGAAATTTATTCTCTTCTTGCAATGATATATTTCAGTACAACATGCCTGATAAAATCAGCAGAATCCTGCTTCAGATGTAATACTTGACATAGTAAAGACAAGTTTGAAGTTCATAATTACGCTATCGTGCATTCGGGAATATATAGACATGCGACTTTGGAGCTGACATTGTGTTTGTTTTGAAAAGAAATTGTGTGACATTTATGTAAAGGAACATTATGATGGTATGCATGGTAAATAGTATAGTCAAACACTGAATACGCCTGTTTTACTTTCATAAGACCCAACTGCTCCCCCGAAACCTCACCGGAAGCCAGTGCTTGAAGACGAAGCATCTGTTGATGATGGTACGTATTGCTTCGTATGCTAAATAATAATGTATGCAAAACAAAGTGTGAGGTTTTGTGGCAGAAATTAAATATTTAAGAAGGCAAGTAAACCATATGCAGCGAAATTAGCCAAGCTGAATGTTTGATCCTTAGAAATCATGCTAAATCTTTGGGTCCTGTAAAACTAATAGGTGTAAGAAAATCAAAACGGGGGTTAATATCATGAACAAAGATTCCATAATGATATTTACTCAATAAAATGAGAAACTTAACATTATTTGAAATAACTGTGACAAGGTGTATGCTTTTACTTTTATGTGGTCCCATACAAACGACAATGGCATGTAGGCTGCTTGAACATGGTCTTGGTGATCGTCGTGTACAATTTAGTAATAAAGTGTGAAAAAAGCGTGAAACACAGCAATCACGTGAACGCCTTAACGCTCGAATGCTCATTAGAATGCAACCACATAGGCATTGCTAAACAGGAAATGCATAAAGTTTACTCAGACAGCAGGTATGCCGTGACTCACAAATTAGCATTGTGAGGTGTAGGGGTAGGCTTAAGGCTGGATAGCCCGCTCAGCAGTTGCATGAGTCTGGCATGTAGTCGTCATACAGTTAGGAGATAAACATCATGTGTTGGCCAATTTCCAGGTTATATTGAGTATTTGAAGCACGGGAAGTCATTTGGAACGTTGAAGACCTGTGGCGGCGCGTGTGGCAGTACACCAGGATGACAATCAGGTTCTGTCATCACCGCAGCAAACTTGTGACTGCAACCTCGATGAGCTGACAGCTGTGAAGGGGTAGAGTGTCAGTACAGACCACCAAAATCGACTGCGCTCAGCAGATGTCCGAGCAAGACGACCACACGTAGGACCTATTATGACGTAATTACATGCAGACATGCCAGGGCGGGTGTCATGGTTTTTCATGCCGTACTTTTCTAATAATATGTGCAATCCACATTTCACCATCATATGTTACCTGGTTGATAGTGATATAATACAAACTCATTTACATAATATACTCAACCACAAAGGTTCTTGTGACACATACATTTTTGGCTAAATTTATTCAACCAAAACCATAAACACACGTCCAGAAATATGATAACAGGCGTACAAAGGCAACTTTGAACTGACTGTTTGAAAACCAGGTGAATTTGAATTTGCACATGCAATTTCATGAAAAACTGGCCAGTCTGTGGGTAATTTAACATGAGTTGCGGGCAGATTTTCCATTGTGGATAAAGACACGTGCAATAAGAGTTACCTGAAAAACAAACCCACTGAATTTCGAACCACAAGTAAACTCTTTTGATGCCAAGGCTTTCTGAAAATGAACGGTGGCAGGCACTTGGAATGCTCCAAGCCGGAACTGCACAACGGGAAGTTGCTCGTCGATTTAATGTCCATAGGAACACTTAATGGAACTTGTGGCTCCGACATCAGCAAACCAATCACGTCAGAGACCATCCCCACAGTGGCCGACCACTAGTAACGACTCAAAGACAAGACAACTAGATCAGACATACACGCCTCCGGAACCGGTTCCAACCAGCAACAGTCATAGCAGCAACAATCCCTGGACCACGGAAGATATCGTCACAAACCGTGCGTCGACGCTTACGCCGGTTCAGAATCATTTCACGACGTCCAGCAAGGCGACCGATTCTCACGTTACATCATCGAAAACGATGGGCAAGACAGCATGGGAGATGACCTATACGTCAGTGGGACCGTGTCCTGTTTCCTGATGAGTCCAGGTTTGTGTTAAACAGAACTGATGAGTGTTATGGAGGTCGATCGGTTTAGAGGTGTAATCGTTATGATCTTGGGCGAAATACTGGCTAGACAGAGGACAGATTTGATCATCATCACTGGCAAATTGACTGGGCAAGGATATCCTATTGAAGTGCTTCAACCAACGGTTTCACCGTTCATAAGACAGGGGTTACGTTACAGCAGGACAATGCTAGACCACATGCCGCCCGGATCGTTCAACATTTTCTGGTCAAAAACAATGTTGCTGTCTACCCTGGCCAGCCAAACAGTGTGGGATGAAATCCACCTACAACGCTCCAGCAACTGCAACAACATCGTCGTCACATCTGGGACAACATCCCACAGCGTTGCCGTACATGACTGGTTCATCCATGCGACGGATGTGTGTTGCCTGTATCAACGGAGTTGGTGGTCATACCCGTGTATTAGAGTGTGAACTGTGATTTTAGCCCAACAGCATTCACATGGCCATCTTACCGTTTACAAACGTGTCTAATCCAAGATTATGATGAACATTCACAAGCCAGATGTCTGTTCTGTACATTAAATGAATTTGTGTTGCATTTGGTTTCTTATGTTTTCTTCTATATCACTTTGAATAGCGTCACAAGAACTGTTGTTGTTGAGTATAATATATTAAGCAGCAAAAGAAACATCAGTTTGGAATAGTCCTTCGCAGAAACGAATAACTGTAAACTCATTTAATCTTTTGATTGTATATTTTTGACATCTCCAACCTTATCTGAGCAAAGACATTCCTTCCCAAACTCAGAACTGAACCCAGGAAATGGTCTCAAATACGCAACCTGATCTTGGAGATGGTACAGTGTTCTCCGTGTTTTCATACAACTCATGCTGCACGTGCTGTTCACAAAGACAAGCCCTATACAATGCACCCCCAAACCTGGTTGAAACATTCACATTACAACGTCAGCAGGATGGCCGCGACAGCTCACGACAGCTCAGAGGAACCATGCGCTAGGAAGACTTGAAGCTGGCCACACTGCGCAAGCCGTTGCCAATCACTTCCAGGTCAACGTTAGGACCATCTACAGGCTGCAGCAACGTTTCCGGGCCACCAACACCACAAATGATCGCCCCCGTACTGGCAGACCAAGGGTGACCACAAGACAAGACCGCCATGTTCTGCGACATCATGTACAGAATCCCTTCATGCAGGCATCCGAAACAGCACGCCAGACAGTGGGAACAAACGGAAGACCAATCAGTACTGATACAGTACGCTGACGTCTTAACAGCGGAAACCTCCATTGCCGCAGACCTTAACGTTGACCTATCCTCACCCCTCGTCATTGGCTACAGTTTGCCCTACAACACCAAAACTGGCGATACAGGCAATGGGGAACTGCTATGTTCACAGAGAGTCGGTACTGCGTATCAACTGCAGTTGGCAGAACAAGAATATTGCGACGACGTGGCCAGCGTTACTCAGACCAATGTGTTATGGAAAGAGACTCATGGGGAGGTGCAAGCATCATGGTATGGGATGGAATAGGCCTGAACCAGATAGTGGGTTCTGTGGTGTTCCAGAACCTTGGTCCAGGGAGAGGAGGCGACATCACAGCGGTGCGCTACATCGACCAAACTCTCAGACCCCACGTCATACCACATTTCACACGTTACCGGAACAACCTTTCCCAGCATGATAACGCCCGGCCCCACATGCCAGAGCTCTCAGACCAAACTGACCAAGAGACCAAGCTCTCAGACCCCACGTCATACCACATTTCGTCGTGGCCAGCGTTACTCAGACCAATGTGTTATGGAAAGAGACTCATGGGGAGGTGCAAGCATCATGGTATGGGATGGAATAGGCCTGAACCAGATAGTGGGTTCTGTGGTGTTCCAGAACCTTGGTCCAGGGAGAGGAGGCGACATCACAGCGGTGCGCTACATCGAGATCATACCACATTTCACACGTTATCGGAACAACCTTTCCCAGCATGATAACGCCCGGCCCCACATGCCAGAGCTCTCAGACCAAACTGACCAAGAGACCAAGCTCTCAGACCCCACGTCATACCACATTTCGTCGTGGCCAGCGTTACTCAGACCAATGTGTTATGGAAAGAGACTCATGGGGAGGTGCAAGCATCATGGTATGGGATGGAATAGGCCTGAACCAGATAGTGGGTTCTGTGGTGTTCCTGAACCTTGGTCCAGGGAGAGGAGGTGGCATCACAGCAGTGCGCTAAGTCGACCAAGCTCTCAGACCCCACGTCATACCACATTTCGCACGTTACCGGAACAACCTTTCCCAGCATGATAACGCCCGGGCCCATACTGCCAGAGCTACACGGGACTTCCTACAGCATGACGGTGTCAACATTATGCAGTGGCCAGCCCTTAGTCCTCATTGAAACCCAATTTGACATCTTTGGGATGAAATCTCAGAAGAGACTGAATAATGTCGTACCAAGGCCGAACACAGCCGATTTATTGCGCCAGGCCTTTCTCAGAGTTTGGGTCCAGGTGCCAATGGCCTTCATCAATCGATTGGTGCACTCCATGCATAGACGCTGTGCTGCAGTTATTGCCGCTCGTGGTGGTCACACTAGATACTGAAGTCAAGGGTCTGAATGGACTGCAAACGTTCACGTAATGTTTTGAAATTGTGCTGAGTTCTTCATTAATGTGACAAGATATTGTACACCCCAAAAAATTGTTTTTGATCCGCTTATTATGGCCATTTCTGTAATGATTGGATTAGAGTGCCTATCTAAGTTTTAATTCGTACTGACGGTTTTTTTTCCTGCTGAGTATACTTGATTTATACATACATTCATAAAGATTAATAAAGGTACAAATGAGTTAATGGCAAGCGATCTGGTGTTGAAGCTGCTTTTAACAAATTCAAGCCATATCGCAGAGGGCGAGCTCCGGTCATTGTCCCCCAACATTTAGAGGCACTGAACTCGTCCATCGGTGCCACATGTCACAAATTCCACATAGACTGCATGGGAAATGTAAAGAATCATACGCAAACAAAACACTTCAATAGCAATGACAGGAAATACTTTTCAATCAAGAGGACTGCTTACACGTAGTAACATGGTTCCTCATCACTTCAGTTTTGGAGTGTACCAGCGTTTAAAAACACACATAAACACCTCACCCCAACACATACGTAGCATTACATTCTGTGTTTCTCACTTTCAGATGTTCTGACGGAACTCTACACTGGCAGAAGCTATCTTAAAACTAAACGACGTATAATGCTAATAGGCAAAACCGGAACGGGAAAAAGTGCGACCGCCAATACGTTTCTTGGAAAGGAGAAATTTAAGTCAATACCAGGCACTATATCAGTCACGACAAGGTGTCAGTTTGCTGAAGTCGAGATTGCCAATAGGTCATTTCTATTGGTCGATACACCAGGGATGTTTGATACATGTATTTCAAATGAGGAGATCTCAAAGGAGATCATGAAATGTGCAGCTCTTGCCTCCCCTGGTATCCATGCCGTCATCCTGGTTATCAGAATTGGGAGATATACAGAGGAAGAACAGAAAACAGTTGAGCTATTTAAGGAGAACTTTGGACATGAGCTGACAAAATACATGATGATCATCTGTACCGGGAAGGACGACCTCGAATACGGTGGGATCACACAAGAAGCATACATGGAAACATGTTCATCTTCATTTCAGGGGCTTGTCTCTGAATGCGGAGGAAGATTACACTTTTTAAACAACAGATCTAGTAAAGAGCAAAAAGATACGTTCAGAAGGGAGCTGGTAGATGCCATTGACACAATGGTGGAGGAAAATGGTGGAAGATGTTACACTAACCAAATATTAGAGGGGGCTGAGGCCATAATGAAGGATAAAGAAAAGGAACTGAAGAAAGAGATTGCGAAGGCACGTAGACCAGAAAGGGAAAAGTTACAGCAACAGTTAGAAAAAATCTTTAATAAAAACAACCCACAGCTCGTGAAGATGACAGCGGTGAACAATGGAAATGCAAAAGACGTTGCGCAGAGGACTCTAGAAGTACTAGAGAAGAAATATATGGAACTCAAGCGCAAGTTTAAAAAAGTCAAAGATGAAGTGGACAAGCAGCTGAGAGAGAAAGAGGACGAGTTAAAGAAGCTTAAGGAAGATAATGAACGGCTGGTGGAAGCAGAACAACAGAAGTTGCATGAGGAGAAGCTGAAGGTTGAAGAGGCGAAAAGGTTAAAGGAGGAGATAGACGAGATAGAAATGAAGGACGAAGAAGAGGCAAGATTCCAAGCAAGGAAGGAAATTGAGGAGGAAAAGGGATTCTTTGATGTCTTCCTGAGGGGTTGGAATAAACTGAAAAGCATGTTCACTCGTCTAACCAAGAAATAAGGCTCAACTCGTAACGGTCCAGTCATCGTAGCACCCCACCTACTCAATACTGGCCAGCAGTCGGCCGCTCTATATGAGTTTTTGAGTTTGAGCTCGCTGGAGAATGCGATGTCTGCAAATCTTATTCTATTTCATATTAATCCTATGCTCTTATAATACCACCTATTGGTTTGGTATATTATGTATTCCATGTATCTGCAGGCAAAGTCACACGCTGAAAGTGTTTAAGACAGTATGATTTTCATGCAATAGCGACATAAAGTAGTAATCTGCAGATATTTCTCTTGCAGTAACAATCATATTACACCTCAATGTACATATCTGCCTAGGAGGAATGTAATTCTTTAACAGTATTTGTGAGTAGCTCACCTTCATGTATGCATTGTGATACGTACATCTCCAATATTGGTTCAGTCCTTAGTTTGCCATTCGCATCTTCAAAACTTTCGAAAAATACATCTCTTTTGTGAACTTTCACTGCTAGCTAGCCGTGATTGTCGGCTCCAAAGTTCGCACTTGTGGTCGCTCATTGCTAGATGGTGCCTCCATTGCCAGGAATTGTTACACTTGACGACGTGCTCTGCGACTGTCTGATCAGTTTGGATATTGTTGGATAAATTGGATCATCTACTGACTAGTTGCACCAATATAATTGGCAAGGGTATTAAAGTACCCCCTGTGCCCCTGCCAGTAATCTGTGAATAATCAATTTTCTTAGAATAAACTTGCCTAGATCAATACTTACCACTTTTAGAAGTCAAAACGTCCTGAAGGTCAAGTACCCTATTAATCGGAAAGTCAGGTAGTACATTTTTTTGCGTCTAGCTTATTTACTCATTAGAGTGAATGCTTCTCTGGATTACTGATTGTCCTGTCAGCATGTTGGTGAAGATATCTTATGCAATTGGTGGCGTACGGTTGTAAGTTAATAGCTAACCTGAGCATTATTTATTCCTTTTTCTATCTATCAGTTATCCTTTCCAGTGTCTAGCCTCTTTAGATTTCCCTCATTGGTTGTATCTAGCTGATAATAATAAAACTGTCAATGTCACCAACGTTGTCTGTCATTTCTTTATTTACTGCTTATATATAAAAAGCTTCAGATAACGCCGATCCTGTTGATCTTATAACAGAGAGCCTGTCCACCCGATCCCGTTAGTCGCCTCTCTCGACCTGCATGGGTTTGCTAAAGACCAATTCTAACCCGGATCTTCAGGAGTCCCGCTTTTCGGAACAGATGTTTGGTTGTGACACACATGTTGGCAGAAAGCCTGAAATGTCGTCATCACCTTGTTGAACACTGTCACAGGTATGGCGTTAGCACACCATTAATAAAAATCGGGAGAATCTGTGATTCGAACATAAGATTCCAGCAGACCTGGATACATAAATCATAAGTGTGTGGGACACGCATAGAGAAAGATACGAGAGATTGCATTTGTCATGAAGCAGTTCTGTTCCATAGCCGGCATGTGGGGATGTCTGATAATTTCTTAATTATGTTACGAAGTGTCACCTTTTGGTGGTGCTGAAATGTGGATCGTTACCGTGCCATTTGTCACAATGTCATTGGGCGAGAAGGATTTTATATCGCTTTTAACGGTGTTGCAGGAAGATCACCGTGGTGGAAGTTAATAATAATAATAATAATAAGGGCCTGATGATTTACGCCTCTTCGTGGTGGGCCTAGATAGAGGAATTTTATTCCCTGAACTGAATGTACATCACCAAGTTAGGGCTGACCCCCCCGAAGCTGGTTTTTCACTGGGTTACAAATAGTCAAGAAGAATTTAATCTTTCAACTCCGCAGCCAAGTCATCCTTCCTCCGGTAGTGACACCAACCATACTGGAGATGAGACTTGCCCCAGGGGAAGGCACAAAACCCGACCAAGAATATCTTGGTCAAACCACCTTAAAACCACACTACTTGAGTGTGCGAGAGCGACAGGATGGCCTGAAAATCCACGTATCAATGGCAAGTCGCTGAAGCTGCATTGGGACAATGCCATGCCCATGTATGCTTACCTGACGGAGCAAAATCTCCAAGATCAATTCCGGCGGCTTAAAAATCTCATGCCCCATGAGCCAGTTCAACCCATAACTGATGCCCGTCAGGAACCTTTGCTTGAGCAGAATGCTCAAGTGACAGCAGACCCAAAACTTCTAACGGATGTCCATGTTAACCTCTCTCCTCTTCCTGATGGAAACTCTTCAGGCACTGAGCCAGTTGGCCCCGAAATTTCGGATGCTCACTCTTCCTCTTCCTCAGTTGCAGATCTTTCCGAAAATCCTGTGTATATTTTGTTTCATTCTAATTATGATGAAATATCTGATTTACCTTTAGAAAAACGGAAGCCAGTTAAACAAATAACAGAATCTTTTCCCAAAAATGAAATTAATTTATTAAATGACATTATTTCTATGAAACTTTCTGTGGACTGTTCATTAAATGAAGTTAGTTGTTGTGTCTATGCTGCCGCTCGTACCTTCGGGATGAAGTCGGCTGGTCTTAAATGTGAAACTGAGGGCTTCCTTTTTGCTGCTCAGGACCAGTCACTTCCCACTCGCAATCGCCTAAATGTGATTCTTAAAGAAAATATCAATATGAAATGTCGACTTTGCAATGAACTCACAGAGACTGTCCAACACCTTGTCAGTGGATGTCCTTCCTTGGCACAAACAGCATATCTTAAACGACATGATGGCATGGTTCGTAGCTTTTACTACCGTCTCCGACATGCCTGTGGCTTTGACTCCGAGGTCCATCCATGGTACGACCCTGAACATGTCCAGGGCGTCATGGAAAATGATGCTTTCAAACTTCTGTGGAATAGGCCCATATATACAGCCTCAGAAGAATTCCAGCTAACAAACCTGATCTTGTCCTTTTTTATAAAGCAAATGAATTTATTTATATCATTGAATTTTCTGTCCCTTTTGACACCAATGTGATTGGCAAGATTAAGGAAAAACATGATAAATATGCGAACTCACCTTTGAAATGTCTCGCTTGCATCCCAAGTACACTGTCGTCAGGCTCCCCATTGTTCTCGGTGCGTTGGTTTGGTACCTCCTGATCTCTTGGCGCAGATCAGGAGAGTGCCCGGGTTCTCCACCGGGAGTACAGCCCTTCTGACACTCTGGGTAATGCAGAAGGCTGCAGTGTTGGGGAGTCTTCATATTCTCCGGAAAGTTCTTGGTGGGTTCGACTAGGCAGCGTTTCCTGGGAGAAGTCCCATTCCCTGTCTGGGCTGCGTGTAGAGGGGGCAAGGGCCCTGAGCTGATGATGAGCCTTACCAGCCTGACTGTGCCAGGATCACCCGAACCCTCTCTGCTGCATACTATGTTTAATCTGTAAAACATAATAATAAGTCATCTTCCATAGCGCACAGTCTCCAACCACCAAGTGATTGCTCGCGGCGCTTAATCAGAATCTCATTCCAAACCCCGGATAACCCAAGCTGCTTGTTAGGCGCTAGAAGGTTATAGTCACATGACTTTATCCAACCGGGTACCCATTTTCTGCTGGGTGAACAGAGGCAATTTGGAACAAACTCACTCTCCTAAGGTGAGACCACATGCATCACATGTGACCAATTAGATACCATTCCTGGGACGTCAGCAGGCTTGTTCTGAAATAACACGAGTTGGTTGTAACACGTCGTATTAGTAACACACACTCTTTTAAAGATGCATTACACAAACTGAATCAATGTAATGAGAGCACAAACACAGTTGCACACACAGACAGACAGACAGACATACGCACGCACGTATATATCTATATATGTATATAATAGGTTGCTGAAGACAAATTGTAACAGGAGTTTAGAGTATATTAGGAAAAGTAACAGTAGCGAGCAAGATGAACTTCCTTAGGGGAAGGGGAGGGTTCGTGGTAGCACACTAAATATAACACACCGTTGCTAACTTTGAATCGTGCATAGAAGCTGCAGTTAGGTGAGGTGAAATGGTTGTATTTGTAGGAGTCCGTGTGCGTGCGTGTGTGCGTGGGTTGCTTGCTCCAGGCTACGTAAATGTCAGTTCTGTGCTGCAAACCACAATACTATTGCAGTAGTTTTTTTCTCCTTGAATTGTCTCATTTGAAGTCATTTCCCAAATGAACGGATAGTTTATATAAAATAAAAGATGTTGTTTAAGAGGTAACAGGGTTGGATAACTCTAAATCAAAGTGAACGAATCTGGTACTTTCTGTACTTCCGGTACTTCTTGCGCTGCGCATTTATGAACGGAAGTCAACTAACTATTGTTAGTTTCACATACTATCTATGCATTGATAGTTTTTCGTTTCTAAATTACTATCGCAGACTCAACAAATGCAATCCATCGATAGTTTGATGCATAGTTACAGCCCTATTATCCACTAATGATGCATACGAAAAAAATGAAACTGTACCTTTAATGTGTAACCTGGCAGCAAGATCGGAACATCAGGCCTGTGATACGAACATAAGACATACATGTAATTTATAGTTTAATACCAAAGTCTTACATGTTCACACTGAGGAACATTATTAAGCGGATCTTTTTACAACGCCACTTAGTACGAGAAATAAAAGAAGCAGCATTAAAATCACCAGAGCTCCGAGAAACACCACAAAACCAAGCAGATATTTTTCAAGCCTTGATCTCTCAGAGTATTCTCCCTTTGGTTGTGTTTCTGGAAATCTTTTCGGCTCAAGTGTTGGATAGAAACTCGATGTAGTGCTGTTGGGCGGAATATTCAGCTTAAGGATCGAAGCGTCTGGAAGCCGTGCTAGTTTGGATGCGTTTAAGGTGTTGTATTTCAACACCGACGATCCGGTCGAATTCGGGGTTGGCAGCAATCTTGTTCCGTAACGCAGAGTTCGAAGTTCCTCAGTTGTGAAGGTCGATTCCTGAGGTGTGAGGACACTGTCTGTGATTGCCCGAATTTCGTTCACGTAGCCGGTAAATTCTGTGTGTGTTCTCAATGGATCTTTTCTCCATTTTCTGGAGTTTGTTTGTGCTTCTCTCTTCTCCCACACCGGCGAGCTGAGTCCCGTATCCATGTTGTATGGTCAATTCAGAATCTGGATCGACGGTGATAATCCGTCCAATCCAGCCCCCGCTCTGCTTAATCACCTGGGATTATTTCCTGGATTAACGTTGATGGCATAATCGTATAATCGTACGAATAGCCTAAATAGGGTTTACAACTCAGAGTTCACTGAATGTTTGTTCGTTAGATATGGAATCCGAGAAGGGACATTGTCGCTAAGTCGCATTGTCGCCCTCTCAAAAACAAATAAAATGAGGCAAAATAAACCAAAACGCGACAACGCGACATTTCTCTTATTTGTCGCATTGTCGCGTGTCGCGTTTTGGTTAATTTTGCCTAATTTTGCGTGTATTTTAGAGGGCGACAACGCAACAATGTCCCTTCCAGGATTCCATAGTTAGATGACTGTTCGTCTGATACTGATAGCATTGAATAGCTATCAAATTAGTAAGTGATTGTAGTTTTAAGCCCTTTTGGCAATATTCCAGCAATATTACGGCGGGAGACACCAGAAATGCGCTTCACACATTGTGCCCCTGTGGGGAATCGAACCCGGGTCTTCGGCGTGAACAGCGAACGCTTTAACCACTAGGCTACCCTACCACCCCCATCAATTCGAAGATTTTAGGAAACGGTTTCTTTACCATGACAGCCCGATACAAGCATATGCTACGACCATTTACAGTCAAACTGTCTTTGTATCTTCGAAGCTCCTGCTGAGCTGTTGGGGTAACCTAGTGGTTAAAGCAGTCGCTCGTCACGCTGGAGACCCGGGTTCGTTTCCCGTTATGGGTGCAATGTGTGATGCCCTTTTCGGGTGTCCCCCGCTGTGATATTGCTGAAATATTACTAATAAAAGAGGCGCAAAACCACATTCACTCACTCACTAATGTGCTCAATGAATTACTGTCAGATCACAAGACAGTTTGTGTTGATATATTTTGATGCAGGAGCTACGAGTTTAGTTTTAGGACGCTTTTAGCAATATGCCAGCAATATCATAGCGGGG